CTTCACTACTGGTAATGGAACTGTCTTTAGCCCCTCCGATGATGTAGCAACGGCAGCGTATGTTTTTCGCTCCATTGTCGATGTCTTACTTTTGTTAGGGTCATCGATTTCACCGGAAGGCTTTATAGCAGATTTTGTCTGCTTTTTCTTCTTGATAACAGGAGTAGGGTCCCGTGGGGCTTTTTCGCTTTGAGCAGAATCAAGCACACCTTCAGAATATGTCTTCTCGGTGAGAACCAAGATTTCCGGCAACTTCGGCTGATAAGTAGTGCGTGTTGTGATCTTCGCCTTCGCACAACCGTCAGACGGTTTGCCAAGTAACGACACTTGGCCTGTTACCGGTGCCGAGACAACTTCTTGTTTAGCAGAGAGCTTACGAGGTTTCCTGGCTCTTCTTCGCTTAACTCGAAGTGACCCTTGAACCAGCAATTCGGCATCGATCAGCGTAGGTATAGATACGACGTCCGAAGCTGCTTCATTTTTGTGGTCGGTAGCCATCTGGACCGGTGACATAATGATAGGTGCCACAAGCTGATCATCAGTGTAAGCGATCAAATCTGCTTTGTTGGAGACCGGAAGCGTCGTCATAAGCAGATCAATCTTTGAGCGAAGATCAGAGAGCATCGAGAACGAACGCTCTACATTTCGCAGCCGGGTATCAAGAGATTCATCTCTCGTACGAAGGACTGTGCGGCCTTGCCGGCGGCTGCAGCAATTGGCACAACGGAACAGCAACTTTTCGCTAGAGGCCAGCGCTGCGTACTGCTCGGTATTTAGCTCCGTACAAAGCTGATGGTACCATCGGTTGCAGACATCGCATTGCATACCGCCTGAATCGTCAGTTACTGGTACATTGCAGCTCGGTCCGCCACAAATTGCGCTAACCTCAGAATCCGAGCCATCAGTAACAACAGCCTCGGAGAATTGCGAGACTAACATAGTGGAAAACAGAGTGATTATAACACGTATGCAATAGTTAAACGACCACCATAAAAAGGGTAAAAAACGGAGTGCAAAACGGGGTTAAAACTAAGAAAAACTGGAAAAATTACCAGTAAGCGCCAAAGACGCTTTGACCAGAACCGCTTTAATCGATCCAAGATATCTTGGATCAGAGGAAATTTGACAATAGTCAAATTTCGTTTCAAGTGTTTATTCAAACACTGTTTTCCACGTCAATTCAACTAAAAATCTCGATCAGTATGGCACGCCAAAAAGTCAAGTTACCGCGTAGCACTCACAGTATTAACTCTACGTTTAACGAGGGATTGAGACTCAGTTGTGCGAGATACTTTTTACCTGTTTTGTGGCTTTCTTGATACAGCAGGCATATCCGCCACTATCACCACGGATAGAGGACCTTAATTCAATACTGCCCTATTTTGCGACCTTAACTGCATGCTTGGCTGTTCTCATCTATGTAAGACAATATATCACCCGGCCTCTAACGGTTTATTTGAGCGTTTTCACTGCCAACTCAAGACCGCACTGGTTGCGACGCTATCGAATATCCAGTGGTCGGAGCGTTTACTGATCATTCTCCTCGGTATCCGCAACATTGTAAAGGTTAACCTCGGTTGTTTGCTCGCAGAATTAATCTTTGGTTTGACACTCAGACTTTACGGAGTATTAGGACTAGATTCCAGCGTCACCGGCGAACTTGGCCCTACGTCACATGTCGCACCAGTGAAACAGCACTTCAGCGCCCTTCGTCCAACACCACCACGATTCACTTCTCGAAGCCAAAACGTTCATCCCGACTTGCACACGTGCCCGTTCGTCCTCGTGCGAGCCGATGCAGTACGCAAAACCTATGACACCGCTTACGAAGGCCTTTGCACCGTAGACCTTGTCCACTTTGGCGTCCTTCTGTAGCTGGCCAGCGATGGATCCAAACTGACCACATTGCCATATGTTACAGGTGACGTGGTTCCATCCTCGTACTAAAATACCTACGTTGATTCTGATTATTCCTTGGTGAGCTGTCGTTTCTCCATGAACTTTACCGGGAGGCGCACCAAACATCTCCTCCGAGTGACAACTGAGAAATTGTCTCAGCCTATCAAGACGCACTGCGTACCGAACTTTCGCTGTCTTATCCTAATGGCACTAAGCTTTAGTTGAGTAGTATCTCGGCCGCCATGCGCGATGCAGGAGCATCTGCTTATAGCATTATCCATCATCACCTCACCAGTTACTCGATATCTGAGACGTCGGTGAACCTGTTGGAATCTACGCGACACTTCCCGGCTGGCTCTGGACACAATGTGACCAGAAGGGCTACTAGGCGCGGACTAACGTGGAGTGTACATGCTGGCAAGAAAGCCTGGTAGACCAGTCGAGCTCAAGCAATGAAGAAGGCAGGAGCAGTAGGCAATTACCGCAAGGTCTTCCAACTGATCCGAACCATTGGTCCCAGGAAATCAGGCGTCAGAGACAGCGCGGATGCACTGATACACAATAAGGAACGCCGTATGGCTTGAAGGGTGGAACACTTTTAAGATCAGCACAGTTGGCCCCTGTTCCCGGACCTCTTACTCAGGTGATACAGGACGAGCCATGGACCTTTAGTCTAGAGCCTTCATTTGAGGCCGAAGTCTGGCACGCGATCACAGCCTTCATTCGTTTTCTTGTCGCTGGCCCGGATTCCATCCCACCCGCACTATTTAAACATGCAGATGTGGCTCTCTGCAAAGCACTGACCTCCTTATTCGAACATATCTGGAGGGAAAAGTGTCCCGGCTAATTGGAGTGATTCGATTATAGTGGCAATATACAAGAAGGGCAATCGCACAGACTGTTCTAACCGAAGGGGTATTAGACTAGCGTCAGTTGTGGCAGAAATACTGGCCTCGATTCTCATTCAGCGCCTTACTGTGGAACGGGAATCTCGAATAGGGGAACAGCAGGCCGGTTTCCACCCAGGAAGTGACTGTATAAACTATATATTCACTCTGCGCCACGCATACCGCAGACCGACAATAGCTGTGTTCCTCGATTTCAAGAGTGCGTTCGATTCAGTCGATCGATCGATTCTGCTCGAAATACTTGCGCGAAAAGGTGTCCCCACGAAGATGTGAACATCCTTCGTGATCTATACTCGAACACTACAGGCCGCGTCAGGGTCTACGGTGACCTGTCGTATAGCTTCCCGACCGCAAGTGGCATTCGTCAGGGTTGTCCGATTTCGTTGTTTTCGTTCAATTTCGTCGTGGATTCTATGATGGAGTGTTCTCTTGCGGAATCTCACGATTTAAGCGTTGAGGTCCTACATGATGAAAGACTCACGGACACTTCGTACGCGCCACTCTTCTAAGTTTACGCGCACTAACGATGTCACCTCGAGTGGTGACGAAACGTTCGCAGTCAACCTGCCGAGCTCAGCGAACACTCAGTCCACCAACTGATGCAAGATTAGTTGATCTTGGTTATGCGGACGGTATTATCTTGCTTTTCGACGATGTTGTGGCGGCACAGTCAACCCTGAGTGGTCCCATAACTTGGTATGCATTTCGCACTTTCAAAGTGCAAAGTGTTGCTGCAGGAGCACCAGCCACTTTATGACCCCTTGATGCCTGTTAACGAGGAACTCGAGGTGGTTGATCAATTCACTTATCGTGGCAGCTGCATCAGCAATGATGGGCCCATAGAAACTGACGTCAGCTCAAGTATTGCAAAGGCCAGAACTGTCTTTTCGAATTTGCCATATCTGTGGCGATAGTAAGGAGTTTTCCTCCGTCTGGAAGACCGTGTATACAGGTCTACAGTGGAGGCCGTCCTGCTCTAGGATAGTGAGATTTAGCCCCTTAGGTCTGAAGAGCTGAGGCGCCTTCAAGTCTTTGATCATCGTTGTCTGCGAAGTATTGCTGTTGTCAAATGGCACCAGCGTGTCCGTAACGATCATATGTATGGGCTGGAGTCCATGTGACTCGCCTTGTGTTTGGCTTGAGACTTTACAGGACATGGCTCGTAACCGACACCAGCGGCGCGTCTACTGCCGTATCCTATTCGGATTGCTTGTTTAAAGTACGTTTAGTGCTGAGTTATCTGCGGGGAAATGGCTGATCATGACGCGAGGCAGTGGAAGCTGAAAGGAAACAGTCTTTCCCATACCACCTTATCTTGCACGATAGCCTTCTGTTTGTGATGGTATGTTGTCTACACAAGGTGTAGGCGCCTTGACTCTAAATGTTTGCTTAGGGCATAAAGGTTTTCAGTTAAGTCCCCCTTCTCTCCCTCTTATTATTCGTTATTCCATAGCTCATCATGGTTGTATGGCAGAGAAGCATCAGTTCAAGTGGCTGATGTACTGCTGCTGTTGATTGACTGATTTAGCCAAAGGGTAAAGGTTTTGGCTACTATTCCAATGGTCGCGGGTTCGAGGCCTGATATCTCCACGTGATGAGATGAAATGAAATCAAAACGCGTCGTGGTTGTGTCGTGTTTTTTGGCGGGTAACACCCAATTTCCGTTGGCTTCGGCTCCGGACCCATTGACCGCAGTCCCCAAGATTCACTTCAATGTGAATCGCAGTCCACATTGGGATTGCGCGTCGCAGTCCAATCACACAATCTGTATTCCAAAATTGACGTTCTAACTGCTCATTCTCCGTTGTGCCAAACGTTGCCCGCAGTGACCCGGTAGCCAAAGTGGTAGAGATTTCGGCTACTATTCCAGTGGTCGCGGTTTCGAGGCCTGTCATTTCCACCTGATGAGATGAAATGACAATCACACAAGGTTTAATCCTAACTCGACCCAACCTGAAAGATTTTTGCCACTACCTGTTTAACTCTTTTTCCAACTCGCTCTGGGATAAGAATACGGCCTCATAGAGCTTCGGCGACACTTTTTAGTCGTTATTTAGTTGCTGCTCACAGGACGCATTTTCCGGTTATCATTTGCCGCTCTGAAACATACTTAACAGACGGCATTAATATGTGTAAGTACAGTCACGAAATCTTCTACCCTGATCATCCACTGTCTTTACCGTTGTCACTGACCGCATGCAGAGCATTGGACCGTATTAACTGTGGGGCTATCGTGTTCCAGAAGATTACTGCACTCGATGTGCATTTTTTCGGTAGAATATTCAGCTGATTTTACCAATTGTGATCCGAATAACCAGTAGCAGAGGTCGATCTTTCATCGCTTTCATGTGATGAACCACCGTTTTCTTTGCTTTCTTCATATGCAAATCCGTGACGAGAACCATTTAAGCGCCAGCTTGTTTCAATTGGCAGGGGTTATCCTCGGATGATCCAGGCAGCTATTCAGGTTGTGTAAACTTGTCGTGTACCCGGTAGTGTTGTGTTAGATGAAGAGTAGAAGCTTGACGCACCGGTATCCCGATCCGTGTAGCTGTGTGCTTCTTGTATATGCAAGTACACAAGTTAAAGGTTTAGCCGTCAGGGAACATTGCGACATGCAACAGTTAAGGAAGTAAAATTAAGATACTTTCGAAGGCTTGGAAATGGTTGCCCCAGAAATTTTTTGGCTATGGTGAATACACATGGTAGACTATGGCTGCGATCACTTTTTTAAGTCTCAGAGTCTTATCAGACTTTGAAGAGTTCGATTTAAGTTAAAGAACTAGGTGCGGGTACTGCGTGAACTTTGGGCTGACAATAAAGTCTGTAGAATTATCCAATTCCTCTTACACCCTACAATCTTGCCTGTGGAATCGCAACATGAATATCTCAAACGCTTTTTCTAGCTGCCTCTAATAATAACCATAATAATTCTCTTTTCATATGGTTCCTTAGTAAATGTGGGATAAGGTGCACGAGCCCATTAAACGAATAAACACAAAGCCTTGTGACAGCGATGCGAACATCAAGGCCCACTTGTATCGGCTGTTGGAGAAGTCTGGTGAACTGGACGGTCTCAAAGTAAGAAGTGGCTCTACCTAGCACTGGTTCTCCAGAGCAGGCTACGAAGTAGACTTATTTCGGAGATGACTAAGAGTGTCCAATGTGGAGTCAGAGAAAGAGAGATTCTTAGCAGGTCCCAGAACTCGAAATCAATGTACCCGGACCTGGTGAACTCTCTTATCGCTGATTACTTACAGACACATGATCTAACATACACCTTGAGTGTCTTCCTCCCAGAAGTTCGGATGGGGCAAGATAAGGTAAAAGATTTTCATTTCTAACTTTGGATCCAGGTTCTGCGACCGATTGAAATCATGCATGCTCTTGGTTTGGAGCGTAAAATGCAACAGACGGAATATATAGTAAGTTATTACGAAAAAGCTTGCATTTTCATCAAACAGCTGAGCGCACCTGGGAAAGGGCCAATGTCCCTTTCTGAGCAAATCTTATATCTTCTTTCCCGGCTGTGTACCAAACAAACTGAAGATAAGGAAGCTCAAACCGAAGAGATGTCCGACGTCAGTGAGTTCATTTACGTGGGTTTTTAATCTGCCATAACTGTGAGCATTTGTTCTCTTATAGATAACCTGGGTCTAGGCTAACTGAGACAAGTCTTTTAATGGCGTTAGATGTCTCATTTTTCCAGATCTTTCTTGGAGCGAAGGTTGGAAAAGAAAATATCCGGAGGACTTCTTCAAACAACAAGACCGAAAATTGTTCCTTATCCATTGTGTCCCCGAGCTTTGAACTTCAAGCATGCTAGAGTCATGTTAAGCTCTCAGGTGTGTGACCGAACGGCATCCTATGGTCTAGGCTGGTCTTAGCCTAACAGGGCAAAGGACTTGACTGGGATGAATCACACTACATCTGTGAAGTGTTGTCACTAGAAAGCGTTATGGCCAATTCCACAGCATGGTTGCTGTTATCACCCAACTACAAATGAAGTGATTCCCGAGTGAAGGAAGTAACACTACAAACCAAACCCATGGCAAAAAGGCCATCGAAATGTTGCATAAAATGCGCAAAATGCTGCTATCATAAATACGTATATTAGCGATGGACAACCGGTCACAAATACACAAGGTAACACTGAAGGAGCAGCACATGTGCGACCCGGTCAGAACGCAGTTTAGAACCGGGACAAACCGGAATGGCTCTGGGATTTGCGTCGGCGGTTCACCATAAAGTGGTCGTCATTCGACTGACTAGACGGTCGGCTATCGCTCGGAAACTCGAGGTCACTGAACCCTTTTTCCATCTGCTTCACCTAAACCTGTCTTTTCGCTTTCCTGTGTGGCTTAAGACGCGCAGATGGAAAATGGGTACAGTGTCTTCGTTTCCGATCGATAGCCGGCCGTTTAATCGGTCGAAAGACGATCATTTTAGCTGGCGTCGGAGGCGAACTCTAATCACATTATCCCTATTGGTCGACGATCGCAAGGCCGTTCTGAAGCAGCAACCAGCACCATCTGTGGCGCCACAACTCAGGTTGAGAGAAACTCTTACCCGTCAGCTGTCAATCCAGACCGGTTCACAGTCTACAATCGTCAAAGTGTCCGCATCAGTAGACGCCATCACTAACATTAACCTGATTTTTATACGACCTAGATGATGGCACCACCTATGAATCCAGGTTTAACTGTTAAAACGATGTGTTCCGCATTGAATTTGTGGATGATCCGATTGCTTCTAAGAAAACTTGGAACAGCATGACGTTCCATGTAAATTAATTTTACCTTGCCAAAGAATACTCGAGTCCATACTTTCTAGGAGACTGTAAATTGTTTGTGCCGAATATTCCGACAGCAGTCACCCATTTTCAACTATTGATATCAATGTATGAAAGTGGCTGAGATGAACGTTGACAACTGCATCACTTATTCTGGCATTGACCATCGCGAGTGCCAAATGTCAGATTTCAAATCCATCAATACTAATTTTTTTTGGCGGCCTACTTGCTTCATGGGATGTAGCGATTCCCACCAGGCTACAGAGCAAACTTAAACTAGACCCACCAAAGATGCTCCACACCATCACTACTGAGTGTCAAGATTGCTAAACCGGTCTTCTCCTCTTCCTGTGTGGCGCAAGTGACCCCGCGGTTCCGATCGATACCCGGCCGTCTAATCACTCAAATGATTGACACTTCGAACAAAAGGACGACTGGCGGTCAACTCCATATGGTAGGCACAGACTGTTATCGGAGATCCGTGTCCACAAGCATGTTTCCTACCTCAGTGGCCCTTACCTGCCTGTATAACAAAATACAAATTTTTCTCAGTAAGTTAACCGAGCTTCGCACGCATCAGATTTCAACGCTTTGCGACCTCGTTGTGATAACCGAAACATGGCTGAATATTGTGGTCACAAGTGCTGAGATGACTCTGTCTGACTTGATTCATATGTGAAAAGATCGACCTGTATTATTAATCCGACTTGCCCTATCGATCTCATCGCCGATCTAGAAACTCGAGTAGTCGATTCACCTGGGTGCTACCTGCATCTGAAATTCGGGTGCGTTACTAGCAATAATTAACCACCCTCCAATGTCTACCTTGGAAATGGATAATCGCTTAGCCTCTGTTGTGAAGCATTTCCTGGGAAGGACAAACAGCCTGCACTCACTCGAAGTCCCTGCTTCTTTCAGTTAAAAATTCAAAGCTGAACATCTTGAAATATGCTTGAAACCGATCGAACATTCCAGGTTTAAGAAAGGTTTGAAGACAACCGTTTGGTGTATTTGGAGGGCAACCATTCACTTTCGACACGAAAGATTCGTCAGTCCAAGTGAACCAGCAGGTGCTTGGTGTCGCTTATATGACCAAACGGGACAACAATCGCGGCTACCGAGATGCAAGTAGCATGCTAACACCTTACAGTTCAAAGTGTCATTTCAACTGGCACACTAGGAATGGTAAGTTCCTAGGTGGTGCATTTCACAATGTCATAACACGTAAGTCACTGTCAGCGATGGAGGTAGGAGAGGTTTGACGTTCGCGCTCTGCCCAAATTCCGCTCGCAAAAGCCCCTCAGACTGGCCGCGTTACAACAACCCACCACACACTGGATAATTCCACTCCACCCACTCTGTTTACGCATCTATTGGTTCTGGCAATTTCCAAGGTCTCAGCAGTCAGCCTTTGCGGCGTGGGTCGCAACCCTCATCTGATGGTTTTGACATTATCCAACTCGATTTCATACCCTGTGTCTAAGGAATGCTTGGCCACTGCCGACTCTCTTAGTAGTGCCCTGAATTCAAGCTCATTCATCAGTGCTTGTAACATGCGCCTCTTGTGTTCTGCTAAAATCGGGCGCAGTTCTCTAGTGGTTCGGCGCAGTTACAATAAGTACTCGCCAATGTGCCGCTATACAGCAGTTTTGCCATTCTAACGCGATTAGGAAGACGTGATAAACCGTCTGTTTTAGACTTTGTACTCACCAAAAATGCGCTAATGATCGACACTAAGACCATAGACGCACTGCTCGGCCGTAGTAATCATGCGATGCTGTCTTTCCGCTACATCTGCTACGCGGAATACATGAGCGGAAGTAAGGAAGACGCCCATATCGTCATCCATTGTGACATTCTGTCCGACAACCAAAAGCAACTGGTCCTTCCTATCCGAGCAGCCGACCCTTGCTTGGGGTTCGTCACCCAGTTTGCCGGGGTAGTTTCATATGCTTTGGAAAACAAGGTTTTTTCGAAGCAAATGTAGTACTTGTTGGTAAACCGGACTATTTAATGCATTGCCTTGAAGGATACATCTGGCGCATTTATAAAGCCTGTCCAATGTGCAGGTCTGGGGCACCTACAGAACTCAAGGAAACCTTTGCAGCAAGTTGGTCTGTAAAGGAAGCTGAAGCACCAACAGAACTTAGCGATGCACTACAGAGCTGGTCCTAAAATGCTGTAAAGGCATTTATACAAGCTTCGCAAAGCGCTGCGCGGAATCCAAGTTCTACTTGCTGCAGATGGTTCGGCGCTAAGTACAAAAGAATAGTCAAACGCGCTTCATGGACAATTCATCCACACTTTCCAATATGAGTCGTCATGCCACGCCCTTTTGACACAGCTCCCACCACCCCCAGCGTTAAGCCACGCATCTTTCACGGCATCAAATATGATAAAAGGCTATTGCCTTGCACATGCGCATCTCTACTGACTTGGATGATAGAAGACTGAAGGCCCTAAAGACACCCGCCGTAAACATCTCCGGGCCGTTAGCTCGGTCATTTCAAGGATGCTTTGACGAAATACGCTTTACCATAATGTGGAAACGTGGCGTTTTCAATCGTTTTTACAAAAGTAGCCACCGTGCGACGCACTCGAAGTACCGTCCAATAACCCACCTCTAGGTGCTATCCGAAAAAACAGAAGGTATTACCGCAGAGGCCCCCATAGGATACTTTGAAAGTAACCACATCATAGTGTCACAGCAACAGAGATTTCGCTGGCTTCGGTACTGCAATACAAACTTGTTGCTAGCCTGAGCGAGGTGAAAGGAATAAGTCGACGCCAGAAGATGAGTCAACCTTGTCTACCTTAACTCCTCAAAAGCATTCGACCTCATGGACCACGGCGTTCTCCTTCACAAGTTTCCATGCTTTGGAATTGGTGACCCTGTGTTGGGTTGGGCAAGTAACTTCCTCATTCAACCTCAGCTAAATGTGAGAGACTGCGGATCCATCTACGACCCGACTGAAATGCAGTGTGGTGTGCCCATGGAGTATTGGGCTTCAGTCGGACTTTCTAATATTTGCAGACAATGCCGAGATCTGACGTGATATCATAACAATGAACGATCACATGGCACTGCAGGGAGACCTCGACAGTGCCTATGCGTGGTCATCAAAAATCCGGCTCCAGTTCAAGGTGGCGAAATACAAAGTATTGAGCATCCGCTATCAACGTACCACTAAATATCTACTTGAGGACTAGCTGTTGCTAAGTGCTTCCCAGGAAAGTGATCGCGGAGTAATTTTGCAGGATGAGCTGGATGCTTGAAACAAGCCGAAAGGCGTCGAGAAGAGCTAGTCAGCACCATAGACTCTTACGGGAGGTTTTATGAATGTTTAAGTCATCTATCACGCTGCAAATGTTGGTGGCCTTCGTGGAGCAGCAAGTGAAATACGTGATCCAAGCCTGGCGTCCCTGGCACAAACACCATACTGATGCACTTGAAGTTTTACAAGACAGCGATCAAATTATTAAAAGGATTGTTTTGCCTGTATTACCAACACAGACCACAAGCCTTGGAATTGTACATGGCTGAATATCGGTGTCAGCAGGGAGACCTCATCATGGTTTACCTAATACAGCCGAAACCAAATCACCACTGTGGCGACCTGTTACAGCAGCCAAAATGCCATCAGCTCAAACTTGCTACGCACTACAATCAGCTTGATTGTTGACAAATCTTTATCTCCTCTCGAGTGTCCTGAACATAAAACTCATGTAATTTGTGCTCCAACATTGATACTTCTTAAGATGGCCTTGATGACACGCTGTCCCATTCGCATTA